TCTCTCTACAAACTCAATCTTTGATCCAAAAATCACCCTTTCAAGCTCCAATTTGGTATGTAATCCATCCTAGCTCATAGTGTATCATGTTTAGCTTTCAAAATTCATGTTTAAATCATGAAAAATGACCAAGAACTTGTGTTTACGGCCCAGGAATAGACCCAAACCGCAAACACACATAAATGGGGTTTTGGATCCCCAAAACCCTTCCAAACCACTTCTAGATCTTAGATATGACTTAGGGGCTTACATGAATGGACTTGGAACACCAAAACCTTAACATTTGAGGGGTAAACATGAGTTTATAGACCAAGAACATGCTTGGACCGTAAACACCACTTCAAGGGCCGCAAACACCTTTTAAGGTGCTAAAATGCCCCTTAAACACCTCCTAACCCTTGGAACAATGTCTAGAATCAAACTCCATTGTGTTAGGGACCTTAAACATGAAAGAAACCATCCCTTTAGGAGATTACGGCTGTAAACCCCCCAAGGAATGGTCCCTGGGCCGTAAACTCCTATAAGGTGGTCAAATGGTGCCCTAACTTCTTTCCATGGCTTGTACTTTGGACTAGAAACACTTGTGCTTAACCTAGGGACACCAAAACACATAAGGAAAGGGTATATGATATTTTACGGCCGTAAAATCCTATTTTACAGCCGTTTGATGGTTTGTACCTTGCAATGGCTTGTACCTTGCAATGGTCTGTTTGATGGTTTAATTCCTTCAAATGCCTTAGAATTGAACCTAGCATCATCCCACAAGTGTTGTAAGACCATTAAGCAACCAAGAACACACCACCCATGAGTTTACGGCCGTAAACTCATGGGGATATGGTATTAGGGTTGTAATCTCCATTAGGAGTTTACTCTTGAAGATCAAACTCCATATTTAGGCCATACACACCATTAGAAGTTACCCGGATCACTCTTAACACTTGAAATGAAGTGTTTTCGTGCATCGGAGTGTATATTCTTATCTAATTAGTAGTTCAAATTCTAATTAGATACAATTATGTATCTCTTCATATTACATAGGAACCTCGCGTGTACTTAAGCCCCGAACTAACACTTAGCATCCTAACCGGCACATTTATCGTCTGGTGAGTTCATACCCCTACACTTTTTCCATGTTTTCAATGTTTTCAGTGGGGAATACAAGCAAAAGTACAAGAATATCTTGTACTCAATCTTATTATTTCTTATGAAATGTTGCATATTTCATATGCTTTTAACACTGGAAATCGTATTAACCAACCGTTTAACTTGCAGAGTTAGTTTTCAAACTATTTGTGAAACTCATTATAAAATGCTATATTTTATATTTTACAAATGATTTTCCACATAAATTCTGTTAAAAGCATCAACCTCAAAACTTTCGATACGTCCTTGGTAACACTCCCCTATCTACGAGAGTGAAGGACTAATAAACAGGATTTTCTAACGTCCTCGGTAACACTCCCCTGGATACGAGAGTGGAGAACTAACCAACAAGATTTTCTAATGTCCTTGGTAACACTCCCTAGATACGAGAGTGGAGGACTAAACAACAGGATTTTCTAACGTCCTTGGTAACACTCCCCTTGATACAAGAGTGAAGGACCAATTTCATTAATCTTAACATTGGAGACATGTCCTTGGTAACACTCCCTCGGATACGAGAGTGTAGGACTACCCTTGTAACCAGAATCTCCTGGAGGGAGAACGTGACTTGGGTGTATAGATCTATACGAGATTAACTACCCCGCACCTGGCTGCTAGCTACAGTCGGACCGATCTGTCTACGGGTGACAAAAGTCATAACAACGATATTGGCCTAGTACGAGCCTTATCCAGTCCAATGTATGGTTATGGAACTCGCAACTTAGATTATGAAAACTTTTTCTACTTACTTATTAGTTTTATATACGTGTTAAAACTAATGCACTTTCAAGGATAACTAGGTTTTCAGAATACTTATCTTAACACTGCAAGTATGGTAGATACTTGTACAATGCATTCCGAATCGATAACCAACTACGAACTTTTAAGGAAAATAAGGGTTTTCCTGGGATAACTGAACTGATCATAAACAAATTGTGTAACAAACAGATAACTAAACTTTCTTATAAGAAAATATGGGATTTTCTTATATAACAACTTTTTCGGAAAATTAAAGGAAACTTGTTCATTTTCAGAAACAAACCGCTTATGAACTCACCAGCTTTATGCTGATATTTTCAAAGCTGCTTGTATGCTCATTTTGGATGTATATATCTATAATCATGTATAATTTTACTTTCAAACAAATGTAAAGACTTCTATGTAATGTAATGGTTGTGTTTACTGTGCTTACTAAGTACATTGGTTGTGATACTTTACATGACATCCTCCGCCCCGGAACGTTTCTGCCATCGGTTTCGGGGTCTGACACGGGGCTTCGGGGGGGGGGGGGGGGGTGAAAATAGGGCTTAGAGAGAGTATCGGGAGTGGGATAGTAAGAGATAAGCAACTAAAATCGGTTGCCCCTTGAATTCTATTTATAGGGAAAAAATGTCAGGCTCACCTCGTGAGCTAAATATGTCAATGTGTTCGTCATGGCCACTTGCCCTGGAAGACTTCCACCATCTGCTCACCTAATGAGCCACTAATGCTCACCTCGTGAGCTCTGACACAGCATTGGGGTTCGCGCCCCGAACTTCAGAAATTCATATGTTTCGCATACGAGCTCCATTTTCGACGTTCTTTATATCCACGCGTAGGCAAGATTATGATCCACAACTCTCGTTTAGACTCCGTTGGCTAATTTTGACTTTATTTTTATTATATTATTTTTAGTAGGCCGGGACAGGAAAACTCCGTTCATAATTCATAACTCCTTCATTTGAACTTCGTTTTCGTCTATCTTTTCACCGTTGGGCTACTATCGATGAGATCTTCAATTATCGTTTAGATTGTTTCGGCTAAATATCGCTCGATCTCATATCCGAACTTCGGGTTGTACACTACTAAGCCTAAACTTCGAAAAATCATAACTTCCTCATACGAAGTCAGATTTGGGTGATCTTTTCATGCACACTCTCGGTTTAACGTATTCTACGACTTTCATTTAGATTTCTAAGGCCAAATATCTCTCTAACATAAATTCACTATTTACGTCACGCTGTGTGGTGCTGGTTCTGTCGCGAAATTTCAACAGGTCATAACTTCTTCGTTATAACTCAGATTTCGGTGTTCTTTATATGCACAGAAACCTTGTGACATATACTACAACTTGGTTATGATTATTCATTCTAAACACTCTTCTATCAAAATGTTATTTTTAATGCTTATCATCTCTAAATTGACTAGCCCGGATCTACGGGCGTTACACTCAAACTCTTGGTTGTCTTAATAGTACATTCCTATTCGTATACCTTGGAATTCCAGTGGGGGGGTTAACATGCTTATCAAAAAGAGTTTGAAACCTATAGATGAAAAAATCCAAATCAAACTATCTAATTGGAAAGTGAACACTCTATCTTTTGGAGGAAGACTAACTTTAATTAAATCAGTCCTTGGCATTTTACCTACATACTACCTATCTATATTCAGAGCCCCGCATGGTATTCTAGAAGATTTGGAAAAGTTAAGACAAAGATTTTTATGGGGTGGTAATGAGGACAAAAGAAAGATTAATTGGGTAGAATGGACAAAGGTGGTTGATAACTCTTCTCACCAAATGGTGGTGGCGCCTGAAAAAATGAAAGCAATTGTCTGTGGGCTGAAACAATAAATAGCATACATAATCTAAAAAACAACCTTTTAATTATTTGGGCAGAAAACACACAACTGGTGCTTGGTGCAGCATCTCCAAAGCTATTAAGAGTCGCAGTCCTTTCAATATCGAATTTAACAACCTTTTCTCTCTTGTTCCCGGATCAAACATTAAAATTCTTTTCTGGAAGGACGTGTGGTGTGGAAATACCCCCTTTGAACTTCGGTTCCCTAACCTTTACTGGTTAGAATCGGTTAAGAAGTTCTCTCTCATGGATCGGTTAAGTCGCAATGGTTTATCTTGGAGGTGGAAAAACAACTCCTTTGACATGAGATTTTATCTTGAACTCCATGAATTCGACTATGTACTTGGCTCTCAAAACTTCGATGTCCATTCAAGACTTAGTTTTCGTTTCAATTTTCACTAGGATGGAACATACCTCGTTAGCATCATGAGAAGGTTGATTGACTCCAAACAATTCCCGCTTCAATCGAACAGTCCTTTAATCTGTTGGACAAAATTAATCCCTCTTAAAGTTAAATGTTTTATCTGGAGGGAAGCTCTAGATAGAATTGCGGTAGAAACCTCTCTTTCCCAAAGGGACATTATTGTCCAACACCTTAACTGTCAACTTTATGATTCTGATGTTGAGACTTCTGATCATCTTCTGGTAGAGTGTACCTTCTCTAAATCTGTATGGAGTTGGATCCTTAGATGGTGTAGGATACAACATATTCTGTGTGCGAACATGAAAGACTTGCTGAATTTTGCAACAGTCTAGGGTTATTGTCCAAAAAAATACAGATCTTATGTGTGATCTTATTCTCTACGATTTTGAATATTTTGATAGCCCGAAACAATAAATTCTTCAAAATGATTTTTATCTCTCCAATAATCATTCAATCGTTTGAATGGTGCAAATACATGGGTAATTTGGGCAAAAATTGGGTGGATTGGAATTGTTCTCTATTTTAATTTTAATTTTGCTGTTTGGCTGAACTCCATTTCTTGCACTGTAGTGGTTTTTGATTTATGTTGTCTACTTTTGTATTCCTCCCTCCTTAATCCAAAAAAATTACCTTTTACCTTTCTGGAAAGAAGATGTCGTGTCCTAGTTTTTATCCTTACTATATCTATTTGAATTGTTTTAAATTTGATATATATTTTTTATTATCTTGAACAGTAAATGAGATCTATGTCAGATATAATATAACCCCCACAAATTTTGGGACAATAAATCATCGGAGGGGCCGGGTTGAATGAAATGGATTCCCTTCCAATCTTGACTGTTCTTGAAGAGTCCAAAGTATCGCCACCACCAGCCACCGTAGCCAACAGATCACTGCCTCTAACTTTCTTCGACTTCTTATGGCTAACCACCCCTCCGATTAACACTCTCTTCTTCTACGAGCTCCCAATCACCAAAACACACTTCACTGAAACAATCATTCCCAATCTGAAAAATTCACTATCAATCACCCTTCAACATTTCTTTCCTTTCGTTGGTAACTTGATCATATATCCTTCTCGTGCTCAAAACCCTGAAATCCGATATGTTGAAGGCGATTCTGTGGAGGTTACATTTGCAGAATGTACCCTTGATTTCAACGATCTTACAGGAAACCATCCTCGAGAATGTGATAAGTTTTATCATCTTATACCTCTTCTCCGACGCACTGCTGAAGTTTCCGATTTCATATCAATCCCAGTCTTCTCCGTTCAAGTCACACTTTTTCCCAACTCCGGATTCTCTATTGGAATGACAAATCACCATAGCCTTGGTGATGCTAGCACCCGGTTTTGTTTCTTGAAGGCGTGGACATCCATAGCTCAATCTCGCACAGATGAGTTGTTTCTAGCTAATGGAAGTATGCCGGTTTATGACAGAATTCTCAAATACCCGAAACTAGACGAAAGCTATCTGAAGAGCCAAAAGGTTGAAACTTTTGACGATGAGTATCAACCTGCAAGTCTTTCTGGGCCAACTGATAAAGTTCGAGCCACGTTTATCTTGAAACGAAGTGTCGTTAATCGGTTGAAGGAATTAGTTTCAAACCAACTACCAACGTTAGCATATGTATCATCTTTTACTGTTGCATGTGGTTATATCTGGAGTTGCGTCGCAGAATCACGAAACGATGAACTGGAAGTATTTGGTTTCACCATTGATTGCAGGGCACGTTTGGATCCACCGATTCCTGCGGCTTACTTCGGCAACTGTATTACGTATTGTTTGACAATGGAGAAAACAAAGGATTTAAAAGGAAAAGAAGGATTCTTCATTGCTACCAAGTTGCTTGGAGAAAGCCTACATCAGGTCTTGACTGATAAGGATGGAATCGTGAAAGATTTAAGGTCGTTTGATGATTTGTTTTCTGGAGTGACGCCGACGACAGTGATGGGGGTTGCTGGAACACCGAAGCTTAAATTTTATGATTTGGATTTCGGATGGGGGAAGCCTAAAAAGCAGGAAACCATTTCCACAGATTATAGTGGATCCATATCTGTGAATGCGTGCAAAGAAATCAACGAAGATCTGGAGATCGGCGTCTGTCTTTCGGCTACTGAGATGGAGGCTTTTGTTCGTATTTTTGATCATGGATTAGAAGCTTACATTTAGATTTGATCAAATTATCTTGTTTGCTTTGCTTTTTTTTTTTTTTTTTTTTTGTCGTTGAATAATGAAGTTAAAGTTAATGATAGATTTAAGCATGCTTGAGATGAATTATATAGAAAACACGGATAATTAATTTTTGTTTATTAATTATTTGATTCATCTGGAAGCATGAAAAACCCTGTTGTCTTCTATTGATATTTTGATGGAATCAATCTAGATATTTTTTTATGTTGACTTACATCTGCAATATTATTTTTCATTAATTCGGTGCAAATCTCATTTACTTTCTGTTATATTAAATTTCATATTTTTTTTATTACTAATAAACAGAAATATGCTTTGAGATTTGTGCCAACTTATTTTTACTTAACGTCCTTTAATATATTTAAAAATGTACCATATATTTCCATAATAGGAAAATACTTTTGGAATTTGTCAAATTAGTCTAAAAAGTTTTTTTGGTGTTTTATAGAAGCAAAGGTAAGTTATAACATGTTTTGTTTCTCTGTTTATCTGATCCCGCTATTTAAAAGAGTTATCTGATCCGCTACTTAAAAGAAACGGTCAAATATTTTGATGTTTTTATAGAGGCATAAGGTGTGGTATAACATAATCCTCTAACCTAAAATAACATGTCAAATATGCTATATACCCATTTGAAAGCTATTGTGGCTATCTAGTAAACACCTAGTAAAGTCAAGACATACAATTTTGACCCAGTTTTTTGTTGTTTGACTAGATCATAAAACACTGTACAGCTTCCCCTTTGTAACCATCCGACCCTCCCCCTCTCCTTTTCTTTATCTTTTCTTCATCTGGTAAGATCCTATCTACATTCTCGTATCTTTTCGGTCTTCCGGATCAAACGCGCGAAGAAAGCTTGTAATTGATGAGCAACAGGTACAATGCTACTCGACTATAATGTAAGGAGATGACCTACAACGAGTTGCGGTTGTTTCGCAAATGTCGAGTATATAATCAACGTTTTCAACTATTTCTCCATGTCATTGCGGTTCAAGCTCACTAAGAAATAATCGATGCCTAAACCGATTAACCCCTCGTGTTTCTTTTTATCTAAATAGCTTATCATCGTTACATGGTGGCGAATCGCCTCCGCGTTCAAAACCCCTACATGTCCAACTCCTTGCAACACTGAAGTTATAATCTTGACGGAGTTGATGAACTATTCCAACGAGCTGAATGTCATCACTCTAGCACATAGTTGCGGCACTGCCTGCTCCAACGCTAGGTTTTCTGGTATATTGACTATGTAGTTGCAATTTCACTCCGTTGTGACTTTTTAGTATGTACCTAAGTGAACACTATTTTATTTTCGCTTACTTTTGATGGACAACTGTCGTAGAGGAGAATCCTCCCCGAGTAAAGCTTTCATCGGTGTTAATGGAGTTATAAGTGAACACCATTTTGTTGCAATATTGTTCTTTATTTGTTTGCACACGTGGACAAGCAAATTTTAGACTTTTGAAAGTCAATGTGGATTAAGGAAAAAATGTTCAACAAGTATCTATGTGGCAAAGGGGTAACCAGGTTACCGCTTTGAGGAAAAAATGTTCAACCAGGTTACCCCTTCTGAATTTTTAGAATGACTTTTTAGACCCGACTAAATCAACTTTATTCCCCTATAAAGCAACCAAAATACTTTTGTGACTGATTCGAGAAATCTGAAAAACACTGTTGGGCTAATGCGTCATTTCCCCTCTTTTAATATAGGGCGTGAATTTTTACATAAAACTCCTAATGTTGGTGTTGAAGTCACCTTTAGTTGGCATCTATTATCAATTCATGCTTGGTAGACTATGATTTCCTGATTTTTTATTTTTTGTAAATGTTGTGCGGTGTTATTAATTTCATTTTTCTCAAATTTTACCCAATGGGTTTTGTAAGGTAGTATGTTTTATAATGTTGTGTACCACTCTAGGTATTAGGTATTGAGCCTAACCTTACTCTTTTCTATTACTTTTATTGCACCAAGTCTAGCGATGATTGGATCGCTTTTTCTAGTTGTCTAGGACAAGAGCCTTGTTGCAGAAACCAAGAGTCGATCAAACATTGGAAGTGTTAGTTCTCAGGATTACATCTGCAAAACAAATATCAGTAAATCAAAACACCGATAGACAGAGTGGTGTGCTTGACATGATTCCCTTAAGTAGATCCACCGTCTGTTCCCAGGGTACAACAGCCAAAATAGTATGTATTGTCGGATCTAACCACTTGTTTGGAAAATCCATCACCAAGTATTTGCATAGAGAAGGGGTAGATAATATATTCTCAAATGTATAATAATAAGAAGCAAAGGTCTCTTTATATATCAGTCTTTGTAGGCTTGCGCGGGCCCAAAATTTTGGAGTTGTATTTGTGTTTGCAGGTCGCACCCCCACATGAGTCCCTTGAACTTTGTCTACAAAATTGTCACACCCCAAAACCATGAACGGCGGAAACGTTCTGGGGTGGAGGACATCATGTACAGTATCACAACAATGAAAAGTAGTAAACAAGCAACAACATCATCCATTGCGTTAATAATATAATTATTATACAAGTGTGTTCTGTCAAATTTTAATAGACACTAAAGCATAAATCAAAATGAAAGATGAGTCTTGAACAAGCTCTATCTTCTCTAAACCTTGCATCGGTACCTGTCTATTGATGACCCGAGGATACAAGTTATTTTGAAAGAGAGTATCAACTTTAAAGCTGGTGAGATCATAAGTATTTTAGTGTCTTAATTTGTATGTAAGTATTTCTATGTATATGAACTATGTAAGTATTTCTATGTATATGAACTGTAAGTATTGAAAATGTATAAGAATTGTAAGTTATATGAGCTGTAAGTATTGAAAATGTATAAGAATTGTAAGTATAAAAATGTTTGTAAAACAACTGTAAACGTTTGAAAAACCCTAGAAATCCCTATGACTCCAACTACTATAAAAGGGAGTCTTCTACCAAGACCTAACTGTTCTGAATGTAGTCTTCTACCAAGACCTAACTGCTCTAGCTGTAGTCTTCTCCCAAGACCTAACTGCTCTGAATGTAGTCTTCTACCAAGACCTAACTGCTCTGAATGTAGTCTTCTACCAAGACCTAATTGCTCTGAATGTAGCCTTCTACCAAGGCATCTAGTGTCTGAGTGGGTGTCTCTTGTAAGAGTGTGTGTTTTCCTAAGTCTGACTATCATTATTCAAAAATATAGTTTCTACATTACCATGCGTCGTGTGAATGTTCACGAAGTGAATGTAGTGGGAACATTAAATAGTACTATGGTGTAGTGTCGAACTACAACTGTACCAATTACCTCAATTCTAGGGTAATTCTTCTAAGTATTGTAGTATTTGTAATAAATAACTACATCGGTACTCAACTGCCTTATTTGAGGGATAAGGTATAATGTGGCGGCTAGATCCCAGGCTATACGCTCCCCTATCAAAGGGATTTGGAGACCTTTACACGCTCATGCATATCTGCACTACCTGACACATCCACATTACTATGATCATATATACCCAATATAACTATCACAATTGCGTTCTGATTCATCGGTATAGTTAGATCCTGAACTTGTTCCATGATATAGCACCTAGTAACGTCTGTTCTATGTATATGTAAGCGTACTCATGTAAGTGTGATCATGTCATTGTACTCATGTAAGTGTGATCATGTAATTGTACTCATGTATGTGTGATCATGTAAACATATCTATGTAATAGTATAGTAATGTACTGTAATAATCTGCGTGTTCTAGCTGTAATGTGTGTTCTTTATCTATCTAGCATGTATAGTAATGTACTGTGTGTACTAGCTGTAATGTGTGTTCTCTCTCTATCTAGCAAGTATTGACTCATGAATGAACTGACTCATTGTATGATATTGTGTTCTAGTAATAGTTCTAGTATCTTCCTAAACTACCCCTATGGTAGTTTACTAGTAATCTAACTGGTACGTATGGACATGGATGTATACCCTTGCTACCCAAGCGATTTGGATGAACTAGAAGGACGTTTATAAAAATATATGTACACATGATATATAACTAATATTTAAACGACCTTCGGACGGGTACCCGATATCCCACCAAACCACATCTCAAGCGCGAAAAGGAAATAGGGTGGATAGCCTTCCTAAGTCTTTTGAGCATTACTTATATAAATATACATATATAATCATGCAATTTATAATATAAAAGCATAAAGTAAGTTTTGTAAAACCTTTGAACATAATTATTATCTAAGAAAAGATTGACGTGATGTCAATCTATAAAACGTTTTGAAGGCATGGGTTTGATAAAACAGTTTAGTAATAAGAAACATTTGTTTGAAACACACTTGTAAATAAGTTTGAAATGTAACGTACAAAGTAAAATGTACAGTGTAATAAGGAGTTTTAAATACATAAAGTGTTTATGAAAAACATTTGAAGGAAAACTGTTTGGTAAAACGGCTAATGAGGATCCAATCATTTAAATGCTTCTTATTAACCACATGTGATTGATATAATAATTAGCATAATTCTACGTGTATCCCCCCTCCATAAAACATTTAAAACAGTTAAAACGTTGATTAAGGGGTATGAACTCACTTGTGGTCAGTGGATTTGATTGAAGTGTCAGGTACGGTGCTAGGTGACAAATAAAGACTTGTACACACGCACGAGCCTAGTTATCATATAATGAACACACACACACACACACACACACATATATATATATATATATAACTAATTAAGCAAATTACAACTAATAAATAAGTTAGGACACTCTAGAACATGAAACACTTTGTTTTAAGTGTTAAAGATCACAAGGATTTCATCCAAGTGTTGGTAGGGCAAAACTAGTGTGTTTGGAGTCCAAGGGTGAACTCCCTTGGAGTTTACGGTTTTGATGATCAAGACCTAGGGAGTTTACAGCAGTAAACTCTAGAGTTTACAGTCGTAAGCTCTAGTCCTAGTGACCAAGTGATGTTTTGTGGTTTAGCAAACCTAATGAA